GAAGTGAAGAATTATGTTGGGTTCTGTAATGACAGGAGCATAAAGACTAGTAAAAAAAAACAATTTTAATTAATTTATGGATAGGAATGATGTGCCGGAAGTCAGTTTTCTTCCCTTTAATTTTAGCTGAGATTTGTTGGGAGGGATGCCCGCTTTAACAACTAGCAAGTAAATCTGATTGGATGTCAAAATTCGGGGTTAATCCAAACGACATGTAATAATACCTAGATTGACTATTCCTTCATTCATTCATAATGCGCTTGAAAGCGTCGTTGAATGCAAATCAGCTGGACCCGCCATTTTGGTAACCCATATGGTAATTATTCTCGTGTTAAAAAAGTACCGTTAATTATCATCGATGATCAGGCGATTCTAAAGTTTGCGTTCTTCAGACACAGGAAATAAATTGGCCTCTCGTTTAAAAATTTTAATATAATGATACGGGGTAATCAAAATGGCATCTTCAGCTGTTTTTCATTTATCTTATATACTTTTTAATGAATGCATAGTTAGTCTAGGTATTATCACGTGTCATTGGGTTAATCACGACTTTAGGGGAATGTTGTTAAGGGTTATTTAGGATTCTCCCGTGACTGTGGTTATGAAATTTATTGATAAAAATGGAGGACGAAAGATAAATTATCAGAGATCGACATGGATCACATTTTTTAGGTCCAACCAGGATTCCTCAACAAACACCACCCGATTTAAAAAAATATATATTCGTTGTTTTTCTTCATTTTTGTTTACAAATTTTTAAAAATGGGGAAATTGTAAATAAATGCTACACATGATACATTGTATACGATTTCCTAACTTAGTCAGCTGATATTTTACGAACTTCCATATTCTGGTCTCAGGCCGAGTTGTTAACGCTACTTTTAAAAATGCGCGCCACTATCGCTATTTGTCAAAAAAAGTAGCTCGCTATTAGTTACTTTTTAAGCTACTTTTTATAAACAAATTTTTTTTTTTATTGCTTATAATGTTATTGTATAGTAAATATATAAAAATCAACATTTATAAATATTAAAATATAGTTAGTTTTGATTATAAAAAAATTTATGTAATAAAAATAAATATTTATGGTAATTTGTTGCAGTTTCATAATAAAATCATTTCAATATTATCATCCCCAAGTCTAGAGCGACGATGAGAAAGTATAAGATTTTAATAATCTCTCGACACTAGCACTTGAGGGTAAGGGCGTATTTAATCTTATTTACATATTTTTAAAATAAGATAGATTATCAATAATTTTATTTGCAAGTGCATCGTATGTCTGGCATCCTATTATCTTTTTGAGGGCTAATGCCACAGATCTTCTTTTTAAAGTTCTAGGGTCTAGTCAATGGGCTGTGATTCCCAAATAAGCTCAAAAATATTTAATCAGATCAATTTATAAATATAAATAAGTTTTTACCTTCTGTTATGTGTTCAACTATCTCCCGTGGTACATATATATGATATCTTTGATAACTCTACTATTAGAGCATCTTTCATCATTTTAAAGTTATCTGCTATTTTATTCATTAGTGTCTGGCGGCATAAAATTGTTGTACCATGGGATAGAGTTTTAATTATCATGGTAAATGATAGATTATCAACTAAGGACATTGGCTGAACTGTATAAATTATAAAATCAACAATAACTTTATCAGCCAATTTCTGAGAAATATTGTCATTTGCATTATTAATTAATTTGGTTTGAATTGAATTAGTCTTTTTGGATGTAGATTCGCCTATACCAAAATTATTTAGACGTTCATTTCCTTAAAACTCATGAACAGTCTTATAAAATAAATATTATTAGAATGTAAAAATGACAATTTACCTTTAGGTGTTTCTTGAGGTTATAGCTACTGGATTGATTTGAGGAAATATTTTTTACACATTTTATTTTGATTATTATTTATTTTAAAAAATTTTCAAATCTAGGGAATGGGAAATTTGTATTATAGCTATTAAGAACATTTTCTTCCCTGGTATCTTCCATTTCATTAATATCTTTGTCTGAATCACTTTCAACGATTTGGATATCAATAGGCGATGACATTTTATTAACACGTGATTTAGGTTTATAATACAAATTGAAAATATAAATTACAAATTGATATTATATTTTAATCCCAAAATTAAATGATAAATCATAAAAATTTTAATTAATTATGATTATTATATTTAAATTTTCATGTTTACACTTACCTTCATAATATTTTTTAAAAAGTAGCGAGCGGCTACTTAGCTACTTTCAAAAAAAAGTAGCCCGCGCTAAAAAAAATTAAATAATTACAAAAAAAAAAACTAGCCGATATTAGCTATAGCTACCAAAAAATTTAGCGCGCTACTTTAACAACTCTGGTCTCAGGGTATTTCTAAACAATATTATCTTCAAACCCCAAACCCCCCTCCCCAATCCTGATTGGTTGTAATTTATTTTTTAGGCCCGGCAAAAGGGATTGGCAAGATTCGTGATTTATGCTACCGTCAATGTGTTATTTTTTTTTTAACTTTAAATCATTTTTTGAGCGCGTTTTTTTTTTAAATTCAAAAATCGGATTTTTACCGGGAAACGTATTCCGTCATGTTTAAAATACGTAGCCTATGAATTTCGCGCGCGATAATGATTGATTTGAATCATTTTAACTCTGGTTCCTGTCCAAATTTTTTACCGTGACGCCATTTTACTGGTCGGGTTATGCACCATGTCAGCTGATCTCTGTAAATATAAAGAATGGATACTGGTTGCAAAAGGAAAGATAAAATGAAAACAAAATTGGAATAAATAACTTTCGAAATTCGCATATTTATTTTTTATTTTTTTTTATTAGACGATGTCCCTTTGATGGACCCACCCGACATCAAAATGACCCAAATTTTGAAAGACAGAATCAAGATGGCTACCGATTTAGAAAATACGATTCATAGGTGAGATAATTTTTCCGGCGCGATGATATAAATTGGAGATTACTTTACAAAAATATTAAAAATTTAAACTCAATGCCCACCAGGCCATCTTCATTCGAAACCACCCAAAATATTAAAAATGAAATATATTTTTAAAACTTTTCTAATTTAACTACACTAATCATATAGTATTTATATTTTGAGACAGGAATTAAACTAATTTACTCGGGTTGTAAAAATAGCCAAATTAAACGAATAATTTATGAGTAAATAATTAATTGCTAAATAATAAATCGACGAAAAAAGTTTTTTTTATCATATAATATTATATAAATATCAGAGTGATATAAAATTGTGGTATCTGTATCTAGATATTATTTTAGACGATGTCTATTAGATCTATTTAAAAGTATCTTTTAACAACCCTGATGAATATAATCACAGAGCCTCAACTTCAAACTATCATCATGATCGGAATTAAAGATATCTGATAACTTAAGAGGTTGAGACTCAGGGACTATAATTCTTATTACCCTAGCTTTCCTGGTAAAGCTTCCGGTTTATATCTTTCACATTTGGCTTCCTAAGACTCATGTAGAAACGTCGACATCAGGATCCATACTATTAGTGGGGTTCCTATTAAAATTAGTAGTTATTCATTCGCCTCTAGTGTATATATATATCCCCATTATACATTCTGAACTCTCAGTGTCGCTTTTCTGGTTGTTTTATGAAGCTCTTCGGAATTCAGCAGGGGCTCTAGCATCCAGTGGAATCCCAACCCCATCCCCATCTAGTTACGTTATTGGGCAGAAATAACTATAATATATAATATTTTATTTTATATATTCTTAAATTTTTAAATACTAAAAATATCTTCTAATAAAATAAAGGTATATGAAAAATACTTTTTTTTTTGATAAATAAAAATTAATAATTATTTTAAATTAAAATACAAAAAAAAAAGAAATTTGATTTAATTATGCCATCTATAGTACGCGATATTATTTAAAACAAGGTACGAAAAGGGAATTAGGCACCAAAAGTGGGAAGATAAAATCATTCGCGCGTTCGATTTGGAAGAAGATCAAAGCCCGAGGAATTGGATGGATGATAATAGCGAAAATGATGCCGGGTACAAATATATATTCGTTGAATGTAATAAGAAAGTAATATATTAAAAAGGGGAAAAAAAAGGCACAACTTCTCGAAATAAAATAACTCCAATTTCCATATATATTTTATTTATCAAATTCAATCAATCATATTATTGGTTTTCATATGATCACTGTCATATTTCTAATCCATAGTTGATTGACAACCTCTCGATGTCTCACGTGCATATCATATAATCTACTAATCTACATTTAAACGATATTTGATCGATATTAAATAAGGATATTATATAAAGTTTTATATATATATAATGTAAAAATACACAAATAGAACAGGTATCCTGTCATTCGATCTCTTCAAACTACTGTCAGCAGAAAAAAAAATATGATTGTTTCTATTTCTCTTTTTTTTTTCTTTATCAATAACTTATTTTTAGATTCATTATTATTTTTTAAATTTTTTTCGACATTTTTGCAAAAACTTGCACAATAACAATCCGATCTTATAATTCCATTAATTTTTTTTCCAGAGACCTGCAGGCCCGGCCCTAAGCCCGGTCCGTATATTTCAAAACCAAATATTTGAAATCGCCATTATTAGCCGTAAAAAATCAAAAATAAATATCCGGGCCGGGTCGGGCCGTATAAATGGTACCTCTTGCAAGGTCTATGATTTTTTTTTGTATCTTTTAGGTAATAATTATATTTTAAAGTGATATTACATTTTTTTATACATATATATATTTAAAATAAAAATGTTACAACATAAAATCATTATAAATGAATAGAATTTTGAAAAAAAAAATTTTATTTCCCGATTTAAGATTTATGTCCTTTTTCTCCCTTTTTTTTTTTTTTGTATGGAGAAGTGGCCAAAAGTTTAAAAAAAATATAACAATATAATATATAGAATGGAGGGAAAAAAATATTAAAAGTAGACGCTCGTTGTGATCCGAAGACACTAAGAAGATTGCCTCTGAACACAGCGTTTTGAGTTTACTGTAACATTTTTAAGATCCATAATCCCCATCAATTCTAGAAATTTATTTTACCTTAAAATCTTTAAAAAAAAATATGAGGGCCTAGGGGATATATTGGTAGAAATAAACAACTCTTTTTCTCCGTTTAATGACGATTTCCAGGTATACCCAGGTTGCCCAGTTTTTCCTCTGATTTAATCGTTAGGAAATTTTGCAGCAAGGTTTTTACAATCGGATGCCCTTCCTGCCATCAGCCCGTTTCTGTGGATCTTTACACCACCTCTAGACGGTGATTCTATTCTAGACCCAGACCACGGGGAACCTTTTAGACCTCCATTAGCCGCCAAAAGACGTTCCCACTTCCCCGCCATAGTGGTAAAATGTGTAGTATTTTCTCATTTTGGTCGATGTTTTATGGGGGGTTTACAGGAAAACTGGGAGGACACAAAGGAAAATCCAGAATAGGGTGATTTCCTCTAAATCGACGAATGTTTATGAGAGCCCATCTTGTCTTTTTCTAACAGGAATCAGTGTACGGGTTTCCAGGAGTTTCAAGTAAGTTCTCCAAGAGATTATAGAGTGAATAGCTTTATGGCGACGAAACCGGTCTTTAGAATAATGACAGGTTAGACCCTTAAAATCAAAGATGTTCTGACCAGTGCTGAAAATTTTAAAAATTACCCAATACATGGCAGATTCAGCAAATTACATTTTCGTATCAATAATCTGTTCTACTCTAACAACGTTTGTGAATTTTGACAAAGAATTTATTTAAAGATTTCCTGCCGTCAAATCAGAAAAAAAGAATTCCGAGGAATCCAGTAAAGGCTTTTTATTTAAAGCAAATTATGGTTTTTAATAATTCAATTTGCCCCTGATGATTTAGTATTCTTTCCTTCTCATAACAACATAGTTTTAATTATTGTTCTATAAAAAACATTGAACTTAGTTAATCTTCGTATTTACTTCTGTTTGGTAAATTATATAATATAATTAATTTATAATAAATGTAGTTAGAACAATTAATTATAAATATCGACGAGTTTCTAATAGAAAGCAGCCGTAGTTATATCGGCTCATATTGACACGTCTGTCAATAACATACATTTATCGTATAAAACGTACATAACTTATAATTTTATTTCAAACTTTTTATTTCATTTTTTAAAAAAAATAATGTTCATGTTTTTAAAGCCACGATACCGCAGCCAAGCGTCAAATCGAAAAGATGAAAAAGCGCCTAAAAGAAAGCTTCCTAATACCGCTATCACCGCAATACCTCTTATCTTCATCTATCCATAACCGGAAACAGACTTCTCTCAGATACCCTCATTGAAAATTTATCCATTACCTCACACAATATATATATATTTTTTTTTATGAAATATCTAAAAAATATGTTCATTTTACGAATAAATATTATTACGGAGAGATTCAAATTTGCTATGTTCTTACGAACCAGTTATTTATAAAATGTATCTGTTCGGCTCCGAGAAGTAACGAATTGATTTCACCCAAGTGACCCTCTTAAGAATATCGGGGAAATTATTTTTTCCTAACCCGCGAAGGACATTAGGTCGTGGGGAAGCCTGTCTTTATCAGTTATAAATTATTTCCAAACATTCGCCTCTTTTTTTTAGTCATTGGAGTGGGTGAAATTTTTTCAAACTCGTGTTTGGTTATATTAAAAACCGGTATTGAGATATTATATTAAAGGACATTCTGAGTTTGAGAAAATAACACTCATTATAAAAGTTAAAATGACCTGTTAAAGATTCTTCTTTTCTCATCTCTTTCTTTCTTTCTTTCTTTCTTTCTTTCTTAAGAAGAGAAATAATGTCCCCCATCGGACCTTTTTTTTTGTAGGTCTGGCATGGAAAAACAAATTTAGAGAAGTTCGCCCCCCCAAAAATCAAAATCTTAATAATTTAAAATGAGGCTCCTTCAGGTCCTACAAAAAAAAAGAAGTTATTAAATGAAAGATATAAGATGTAAATCTATAAAAAAAAACAGTATATAAAAATATCCAAAATTACTAAGGGCTTAAATTGTAATAATGAAAATGTTCCTCAAAAAAACAAGTATAATTGTGTTTAAAGAAAAATATGTAGACTGGGAAAAATTGCTGTTAGTAGATATGACTATTGGCTGAAATATAAAGCGATCATCGCTAAAAGGCAACGGAACTCTAAAATTAACAGATACATTTCCCTAACCAATTGCAATCTCGTACCAATCGTATCCGACACAACCGGGGTTTTTCGGCAATCGTGCCCTAACCTTCTTCGAATCCCTTGGTAAAAAAAAAATCGCGTCATCACTGGTGACCCACATGAAGGCTCCCTATCTTCGACAGCGTGTACCTATTGATATATGCGGATCTAATTGTATCGGCATCCACCACGACTCCCTTTTTTGACCTCCTCTTCCCTCTAGTATTGTTAAACTACTTAAATTTGACCATGGCTTAATCAAAATTTTAGCCTAAAAAATTGTATTAAGCCTTTAAGTTGAGTCTCAACTTGAAGATTGATTCCACATGGCTACTTGATTCCACTTGGCTACGCTGTTTCATAATTGACTAAAGTTAGGTAGTTTAACAACACTACCCTCAACTTATAATTTATTAATTATTCCAAATATGAAAATTATATAAATATAAAATATTACTAAAAAAAATACATTCACAACTTTTATATGGTACAATTTTTTGCTGTATTTTGAGATAAAAATTTATTTTTTAGTTTTATTAATCGTAATCAAATGAAAATTTTGATTATATGATTATTTTTTTTTTTAAATAATTTTCAGGAATATTAATTTTAATAAAAAAAATAAATCAATTTTTTATCAAATAATTTAAAAATTCTAATTTTACTTAATATTTATTGAGAAAAAAAAAATATATATTTACTAGCTTATTACGACTCAAATTTTTATTTTTCAATTGCAAAATTTAACAAATATATACCCATAAGAGGGCGTTAAATGCATAAATATGAAAAAAATTATTCTTAGGAAAACCAGATTAATTATTGGATAGCGTTTTTTTTTAATGCGAAAAACTTAAAAAAGGTTTCTTTAACATTTAATTAATGAGTAGGTTTAGGATCGAAAAATAATAGAAAATTTGTAAGGCACATATTGCTGGCATTTTTTTGGTTCATACGTGTACATTTAGGTGTTATAGGCATTATCCTAATATTATTGAAAATATTATGATTTGTCCGAATGCCGAGCTTAAAACCGACCACTTATTAAATATTCGATCGGCCAAATTTGGTAATATTATTTGTAAAATGTTCATTCTTGGTTTGTATATATCTATAAAAATACGTGTACATATTTCCCAAAAAAATATTTTTAAAATATCGTGATTTGATCGATAACCGAATTGAAACCGGAATACTGCATTGCTGGCGTTATCCGGGGAAAATTCGTTATCTTAATAAATATTTTATTTTTTCTCTATTATACATCATCATAATAATCCAAAAAAATAAAAAGATAATTTTATTAAATTAATGTCAATAAAAATACATTTGATACTAGAGATCTGCAAAGTTAGGTCCGGTCCGGTCGACCGGGTTTCGGGTCTAATTCTATTTAAAATAACCGGGTCGGAAAAAAAAATTCGGACCGGGTCGGACCTTGGAATTTTTTTTTAAATATATCCTAAATTTATCAATTTTATAAATTTGAATTTTTTATGTAAAATAAAAAAATATTTGATTTTATTTATCGAAACTAAACGACATATAACACATGTCTTTTACTTTTGAGTAATTATTAAGATTAATTTCTATTATTTAAATAAATACGGGCCGGGCTTGAAAAATTAGGCCCGATGCAGATCACTATTTGATACAATATTTAGCAATGCAGTATTTAGTCATTACCCAATATAAAGTATTTAATTAATTTTTTATTATTTTCCCCGCAGGTAAAGTATCTTCAAAAAACAATGTTTATTGTTTCTTGTATGAATCGTCGATTAAATAGAAGCTTCTAGTAATAATATTACCGTTTTCTTTCACAAGGAAAGAAAGGTTTGCATAGAAAATAATTGACGCTATTATCGAAAATCGGGGATCTGCAGATGTACCATATGCATGGCCCGGCCCGAATTTTTTTTAGAAATTTTTTCTTCCCGGCTCGGTTAGATTTTATTTTTTCGGACCCGGCCCGGATATTTTCGATAACATATATTTTTGACCGGATTACGGGTATTGAAATTATAGCCACTGTTGAAAATTATCTCTAATTTGAAATAGAAAGTATTTCTGAATCCTTAACCCATTTAATATTTATTATATTGTTTAAATGGATTTAGTTTTGGCAGAAAAAAAAAAAAAACTTTTGTAAATTGTTTTTTTTTTAATTAATGAAAATAAGGATTTGTCAAATATTGAGGAAAATCAAGTTCGACTAAAGTTCTAAAATCAAAATTAATTAGATTCGGCACTCTCGAGTACTACAACAGGCATTTATGGGCCTCGATACATCCAGAGGCGCTCTAATAAAAGGTTGCTTTTGGTCAAGCTAATATTCAAACTTCAGAAACAAATCCTGTATCTAATCCGATTATCCAAAACTTTAATTTTGATTAGATATCATGTATTCAGTTGTTCCCTGTAACTTGGAGGGGAGGGGGAATAGCTATTCTATTTCCGTGGTTTAAAAAATAAAAAATGACTGGATATGAAATAGTAATTTCTCTCTATTCAAACGATAATTACTTTGACCCCATTGTTTATTTTTGTTTTAAAAATAAGCGGGAAAGGGATGAAACAGATGTTCATTATTTTTTGTGTCCCCAATCTGGCAAGAAAGTGAGGGATTATTTATCATAGTCAAATTCATTATTTCCAAAATGGTGATCCTAATGTTGATATATGGCATTGCCTGTTTCAGCTTTATGTCGTCTTGCGCCTACTAATAAATTCACCCCATGGAATCATAATGAAATTACATTTTTTTCCTCTCCTAGAGTAACACAACTATATTGGTGTTATTTAAAGTGTGAATTTCACATTTCTCCAATTTGAATAAAGAATAGAATATATTATTTTAATATTTCATCATAATTTCCTCCGGCTATTCCAATTTCTATGTAATACCGCGAATTTTGTGTTTCTCCAATTATTAGAATACAGAATATAATATTTAAACAATTTATGCAAAAAATTCTCATGTACATCTCCCTCATTATTATCGCTATATCCTTTAATATGATTTCATCATGTTGAATATAAACCTAAAAATTATTTAGATATCCTGGAATAATTCCCTTCTAAAAAATTAATTTCCAATAAAGAATATCAGCGATAAAATAGTAACTGATATATTCCGCTAATAATTTGATATAAGGATTTAAATTTTTTAGCAAATATCAGTAAAGCAAAGCATAACGTTTATATTATACTAGTTAAGGAATGATATATTTCTTTCCCATAATATCTCTAAATAATTTAGCAATTTCTTACAAAGAATACCAATGAAGAATGACAAAGATTATATAGTAGTTAAGGCAAAATGATTTTGATAAGAATTTTATTTCTTCCCCATAATATCTTTAAAATAATTCATTTAATTTCTTTTCTTACAAAAAATAACAATGAAGAATGCCACAGATTTATATAGTAGTTACGGAAAAAAATGATTCTCAATAATAACTTTGGGTAATATGGCAGCCTCCTATCGACCATTTTGAGAGTAAAGTATAGCGTATCAAGTCAATTCAGCGAAACTTTTATCGCGAAACACTTTTTCGCGAAACTTTTATCGCGAATGTCGTTTATCGCGAAAAGTTTTTATAGCGAAGGTATAATCGCGAAACCAATTCTGCGAATTTATTTTCGCGAAACATTTATAGCGAAGACAATTTCGCGAAGCCATTGTCGCGAATTTATTTCCGCGAAACCTTAACCGTGAATTTATTAGAGCGAATACATTTTAGCGAAACATTTTAGTGCGAACACTTTACAGAGAATTTTTTATCGCGAATATGTTTGCGCGAATTCATTATCGCGAGCTCATTACCGCGAAACAATAAATATATCGCAAATGCATTTATTTAAAGGAAAACAACATGTTATTTATTATTTGATGTTTTTTAATAAAAAATAATATGCTACTATTGTAATGTTATTTTTGTTACAATTTATTAGTGATTTTCACGTCCAAGATTTTAAGTAAAAAAAATATTTCTTGAAGTTCAAAAAAATTTTTGAACATATTAAGATAAAAATTTTATATCTTCTTTGAAAATATATCTTTTTTAAGGAATTCTTTTGTGAAATTTATTATAAATATACAATTTTTAGGTGAAATCTTTCATAGTTTTTTTATCCTTTTTGTAAAATTATCTATTTCTTAAGTATATTAAAAGAGGTAGCTAAATAATTTTTTTTTAAATTTATAT